GGGTGTTGTAAAAGAAAGAAGTCTTTCGGCACTACATTGACTTGGTGAGAGATATGTACGATGGAGCTCTAACTAGTGTACAAACAACTAGTGGAGAGAGGAGTGAGTTTTCAATGACAATAGGTCTACATCAAGGGTCAGCATTGAGCCCGTACGTCTCTATCTTAGTTATAAACGACTTAACTAAGCACCTACAGGATGAGATACCGTGGTGCATGTTGTTCACAAATGACGTAGTTTTGATCGATGACACCCGAAATGATGTCAACATAAAGTTAAAACTTTGGAGGGATGCTCTAGAATCCAAAGGTTTTAAAATTAGCCGGACTAAGACAGAGTATATGGCATGCAAGTTTAGTAATAATAGGAGTAGAGATGAGTAAGTAGTTAAGATTGATGGCCATGAAGTAAAAAAATAGATAGCACTTTCGATATTTTGGGTCGATAATCCAAAAAAATGGAGACATTGAGGAAGATGTTGCACACAGAATTAGAGTTGGGTGGGCGAAGTGGAGATGTTCAACTGAAATTTTATGTGATCACCCGATACCAATGAAGCTAAATGGCAACTTCTATAAGATAGCTGTGAGACCAACTTTGCTCTATGGGGCTGAATGTTGAGTGGACAAAAAACAATATACCCATGGAATGAGTGTAGCGGAGATGAGGATATTGAGATGGATGAGTGGCAAGACAAGAAGGGATAGAATTCGAAATGAATCCATTCGGGAGAGTTTAGGTGCGGCACCAATATAGGCGATAAGATAAGAGAGAGTAGATAGGTGGGTTGACCATGTGTGGCCCCGACCAAAGACAACACCTGTTAGGAGGTGCAAGTTAGTTGAAGTGGAAGGACTTAAAAGGGTAAGGGGTAGGCCCAAAAGGACGTGGTTGGAAGTAATTCAGAAAGATATGGGGATTTATGGTCTCATTGAGGGTATAACATTTAATAGAGCAGAATGACAGACCGGGATTCATGTAGACGACCCCAATTAATTGGAAAAAGGCTTTGATGATGATGATGATGGGATTGACTATGATAAATGTTCAGCCCTGTTCAAAAATAGCATCAATCTGTGTTGTTCTTGCTGTTGAATATGAAAAACAATGGCCTCTCATCTAAAACTTTTCAGCTATAGCTGCTTTTCTTTCTTATCTCTCACTGTTAAGAGAAGTTAGTGTTCACATAGCTTCCTAATCTCCCTTGGCATTGATTTCCTTTGTGACCTTACAAAGAAAACATCTGAATTCCACCTTTGGACAAAAGAGGATCATGGCGTGCAATATCTTGATCCCTAAGGTCCTAGTGAAATTTGGCAGTTTCAGGAAACAGGAATGGCATCTGCCATATCTATTTCCTTGGCCACTTAGGTTAGAATCCATGGGACGAAAAGTTCCTCTTAATGTGATATTTTACTTTCCCATTGCAATCTAGCAGCTGGGGGTTAAAATGGAGAGACTCTTGGTATTTTCTTATATAAATGATGGGAGGTTTCCTTTTTGTTATTTTCCATAGATTGTTTTTCTTAATGACTTTTAGTTACTTTCGAAGTTGAAAATGACCATTAGCTGGAACTTTCGACGGTAGTTTTGAGCTGAAATTCTTTCTAAATTCTAACAAAGATTTGGAAGCAAATTTGCTCTGAAATCCAGCTGGACCACCACAATCATTGATCTTTGATTAAAACAATGGATTTGGAGCCCAATAAATGGTCCATCTCCTGGACTAGCCATTTCAAGTTTTCAAAGATCGATCAGATCTGCATCACTTTTTGAGCTCCAAATTCAAAATTGGGTGATGGGAATGGATTTCCAAGTTATCAGGTGGTGTATTGGTTCCTCAATCTATCTGCAATATGGAATTTTGGGCTGCAGTTGCTTGCAACCACGACTGCATCAGAACATTTCCCATAGTTAATTCATCCTTGATGCTTTCTTTCCGAAAGGCAAATCTTTATATCTAGAAAAGGTCAACTATGAAATGAAAAAAGTAGTAAAGGGTGAACAGATTTTCATCTGGATCCGAAGTTCATTTTATTCATGTAGTTTATTGTGATTTACATGCTTGAACTATGTTAACTCCTCCATGGCCAGTCCTAGGCCGGGATAAAGGAGGATGGTTGCCTTAGGTAGGGCAGCCAGCGTAAACTTTCCCACTTCTTTTATGTTATATGTTCATGCTTGGGTGTTCTTGTAAATTGAGGGTATGAACCCTTGATAGAGCAGAATGGAGGAACAAGATTCGTGTAGCTGACCCCAAATAGTTGGGGTAAGGCTCAGATGATATGATGCTTCAACTATGTTGTGATTACATAGTTCAAGTAATATCATCACCTAGTAACCCTATTATGTTTAATTGATTCAAAGATGAAATAGATATAGAATGCTGTGAATAAATGCAGAACCATTGTATCCCACTGTTATCACTAGGATTTTTGTGATAGTATTTTCTGGAAGTATTCATTCTTATATGCCTCGCTCTTTTGCCATGAAGAGTTTCTTATTATATGACTTATTTTATACTTCCATTGCAAATAAGACATTGCTACAGTATTTACTATCATCACTTCCATTCCTGTGCTTTTGACATTCTATCCAGACTTAGTTTCTTGTGACTGTTTCCAGTGGTTTGTTTCTCAGTGTTTCTCTTGCTACAGTTAGTGAAGAAATTTGATGTGCTTTGTGTTTTCATTTTGTTTAGGATTTCAAGCTCTCGAAGAGGTGTACTATGCAACATGGTTACATAGGTAGTGCTCTCACAAATAAGCCTATTGAAAGCCTGATGCTGATAATGACACAATGTTCAATACAATTGGGACTTTAGAGGATGTTGGTTTTTATTTACATGATGGGCGTGGAATTAATTAATGCAGACACATGCATATGTCCATTTACACAAACTGATGTGCACATATTTAGGCATGACATTTTTATTAAAAATGTGATAAATTTGAAATTATTAATCTCTATATTCAATTCCTTAATTGCAGTGGACAAAAGGTGGTCATTGAGGAAAAAAATGAGTGTGGTCTCCCTCAAAAATCTGTAGTTACAGTTCAGGTGAGTTTGCATAAACTTTTGCTTGAATTTCAATTATCGACTGGTAAATCTTTCTATCACATGATGTAGGGTTTGACACCTTCCGGCTACTTATTGGCTGTCGATGATGAAGACAAAAGATATGAGCTTCACCCTGATGGAAACAGGTATTTTCCATTCCTTTCTCTATTGCTTATTGGCTGCGTTCTAGCATAATCATTAAGTATAAAGAACCGTTCTCAAGAATATCCAGGTTTGACTCTGGAATCTGATTCCATAGTCTTTTGTTGGAGTCAATCTGTTTTAGGGTCACAACCATGCCCCCTATTTGCCCTCTCAAATTGTTTGGAAAACATCTACCTGGATAGAGCTCCGGATTGTCATTTGAACTTAATTATCCTTTTGGCACTGATCCATTGGCTTTGTACAGTGACTAATATAGTTGTAGAACTGCATTTCTAAATTTGTAACCCTCAGAAATGTGGTTGGTGAAAATCACTTGATGATGATTAGTTCATTTAGATCATAACTCTAAAAGAATGGTTATTTCATTGACATGGTAGGTGGTGGTTATTTATTTCAACTGCCTAAGTAATAATTATTGGAGAAGAAACAAATATTACTGTCCACACTAATGATTCATTGAAACATAAAAGGGCCATATTATCTATTCTAGGAAGATTAAAATATTTGTAGTGGTTTCGGATTGTTGTTTTTGAAGATGAGTCTATGATGAGTCTATTATCTGTACTATTTTACGTTGTTCGAAATATTTTGCTCATAAGAAAATCTTGTTGAAGATAGCTCTGAAAGCTTCCCCTCTTAAGTGAATCGAAAGCTACACTTAAATACTGAGAAATCCATGCTCTCATTATGTAATGCAATATTTACAACTTGAAAGGTTTTCTTGTGATGCACCTGTATGATTCAATGGTGTATTGATCACATAGAATGTTAGAATGGTGTGATTTGGTCTTGTAACTGTGCTCTATAGTTCTGCTGCACTTTCTCTTTTGACAAGTCGAATGCTGCCAATTTGCTTCAATACTATATTCTGCAACTTATGTTGCTGTTTTGCTTTCAAAAATATAGTGGCTGTAAAAGAAAAACAGAGAAACCATTTTTCTGTAGGTTAGAAGTTCGGATTCGAACTTGGGATGTGGTAGTGCAATTGTCAAAATCCTGGCCATTCAAACATGGCATTCCCAAAAACAGCACAACCTTGTTGTGGACTGTCGAGTGTCTACTACCAGGACACTGGTCTAGTCAGTATCAATAGAAGTAAATAGCTCATGAGGAGATGAAAAGAAAAGAAGAGGGATCGGCTTGAAGTCCCTTTGATATACAAATTAATCTTATGAGCAGTATGTAAGCAGTGTCGACCAGTACAAACTGAGTAAGCACATGTACTGCATGAGCAGTACCTAGAAGTGTCATCACCAAGTGATATGCACTTGTTGTTGAATTTTGTCATATGAAAAAATTCTAGCAGCAAGGTCTTTGACAATAGCTAGATATCCATGAGAACATTGTGATTTCAAGTCCTTCCACTTGAAATTTGTTTTCTTAAGTCATTAAAATTTGATCCTAGTCTAGAGATCGGTTGCACTAAGAAGGAAAACATTCACATAATTTTTTTGATTAAAGAAAATGACTGTAGAAAATTCGTCAAAGCCCAGCAAGGAGATCAACAACAAAAAAGTTTGCAAAGCATGGGTTGGGGTGCATTCTTCACATATATTTCTAGCCCATTCAGCAGTCATTTTGCAATAGAGTTAAGGATTCGTCCTATGCATACTCACTTTTGTACCCTTAGCAACAAGTCAATCCTTGTATCTATTCAGAGTACCATCAGAATTCATCTTGAGAATATATATCTCTAGAGATCCAAGTATGAGCTTAGTTGAAGGAAGAGGAACAAGGTTCAATGTATGATTCTCTTCAAGAGACTGTGACTCCTTTCATTGCATCACTTCAATGCTAGGATTGATGTGTAAGGAAGTAGGAAGGAACACAAAATATCCATCTACGCAAATTAATTGTGACAAGAATATGTTAGTCGATTGGGAGAAACTGACAAACAACTGTAAGAGTGTAGTCAAGGAGACGGAGAATTTGACAGGGTCGTATCTGAGATTTTATCCCTCCACCTTTTCCTCATATTGGTATATCTTTAGTGGCTGTCTAAAATTAGAAGAAATTGTTTGAAATGAAAAAGTTGAAGAAGACAAATTGGGGATTTAGGTTAGCATAGGCAAAGAGGTATCCATAGAAACTATTGGTATGTGTGGGTGGCCATGGGGCCACACATGTGCCATATTTCTCTCTCTTTATCTTAATAATACATTTTAATATTTATCACTAAAAAGGCTTCTTGGAGAGAGAAGATGCTTTTATTCAACGGGTAGAAGATAACTATCAATCTCCCAAAAAAAAAGGGCCACCTTCTCAGAGATTCCAGGAGGAAAGCCGAACGTTGAAAAACGGCCTCCTCGCATCCGTCTATAACTAGGGTTTCATGGCTATGGAGAGGTATACAGATAAAGCTTGAGTTCTCAATTGTTCTGGTAAAACCTGATCTCTGCTATTTACAGTCTTACGACATTGCCTTTGATTCTTGGGACTTTGACGGATCTCTTCCCCTCAAACGGCTAAAGTAAACCTTTAATATGATGGAGACATTTGTAAAGGTAACACAATGTGCAATAGGATGTTGAGTGCAAGACCTAATACCTTTACGGATGGCAATAGGTATGTCATCATCACAAGAAGGAAGTGGATCATAGATGAATATGATGCTTGAGTGGCTGGACGAGTTGGCAGGGGATGTCCATCTTGCATTTTTCTTCTGATGTAAACTTTTATAGGCTGCTCTTGAGAAACATCGTGATATATATATATATATATATATATATATTAGATTAGATTCAGTGGAGTAAGGTAATTGTGGTGAAGAAGAAATATCAACAAGAGTAGGAACAAGAATCATAGAAGGTAAGGACTCTGAGACTTCTTCAAAAGCAGAATAAAAAATGTTATATCAAGCACACAACTCTCTTATGAAAAGTAGTAAGTATTTTAAAAAAAGGTAACCATCTACACAAATAAATTTCTTATGTAAACCAGGATGATAACAACACTAACCTTTCTAGAAGTATGAATACCCAAGAAAGACACACTTGACAACATGAGGATCTAGCCTATCATCACCAGTACGTAACATATGAACAAAATTAAACACAACCAGACACTCGGAGAGGAATAACAAACAATGGAGCATCAGGAAAGAGAACCGAGTGTGGTGTTTTTCCATTTATAATTGAATAGGGCATACTATTAATCAAATAGCATGAGGTCAGCAAGGCATCTTCCCAATAAACCTTTGAAACATGCATATTAATGAACAAAGAACGAGCTACTTCAACTAAGTGTTGATTTTTTCTTTCAGCAGCCCTATTCTATTGAGGAGTATGCACACAAGAGGTTTGGTCCCATTTTGAGCAAAATAATTCTGAAAATCTCTAGAAAGATACTCTTTAGCATTAACAGAACTTAAAATACACACATTCTTATTGAATTGAGTTTTTTGTGAAACAATTTAAAAATGGAGAAATTCCCAGATCTCTATTTTATTAAAATATAACCATGTCATTCATGAATAATCATTCATGAAAGTTACAAAATATAATTACCCAAAAAAAAAGAGTTACAAAATGCCTATGACCAGGCAAACTTTATACTCTAGTTGGATCCCATATATCAGAATGAACCACTATAAATGGAACAAGTCTCCTTTTGTCAACTCTAGGATGAAATGACACCCTATAGTGCTTTCTTAACTGACAAGCTTCATACTCTAAAGCAGACACAAACTCCAAAGAAGGAACTAACAGCTTCAAGTTATTGAGAGAAGGATGATCTAGTTGACAATGCCATAAGAACGGAGAATCAGTAGGATGAAGAGCAAAACCAATTAGGTTATGATTTAAGTAGTATAGGCCGCTTGACTCATACCCACCACCAATCATTCTCTTTGTCTTTAGATCCTGAAAAACACCAGAAGGAGGACAAAATGTTACATAGTTTTGAAGAGATTTGGTTGATTTGCTCATAGATAATAAATTGAAAGGGAACTTTGAACGTATAGTACAGATGACAGAGAATGGGAAGAAGTAGGCATAGCTGTACCCTGCCCTGACCCATTGGACAGCAATCCATCAGCCTGCATAATAGAGGAATTATGAATACACTTATTTGGAGATATAAAAGCAGAGGACTCACTAGTCATCTGATCAGATGCTGGAGTCAATAACCCAAGGAGCAAGTTTCTGAGGGGCAAGAAGCACAAAAGTACGTAAATTGGCAAGGGTGGCAGTAGAAAAGGGAAGAGGAAAATATAGACGGTTGTACTTGTTTAACAAGTTTATTGTATTCTTCTTTGGAAAGCACAACAGAATCACCAACGGAATCTGACTGTTGTTGGCGAGCAGTGGGTCCATTAAGGTAAAGGTTATTACTCTCAGATGTCCCAAGCAGTTGGCGAGCAGTGGGTCCATTAAGGTAAAGGTCATTACTCTCAGATGTCCCAAGCAGGCTTAGCAACCTTGTCTCAACACTTGTCAACCATATGATTTATACACCCACAATGCACATTTGCAAGTTCCTCAACCCCTGCCACTATCACCTCTACCTCATCCTCGTCCTCGTCCTTTGCTTCCATCACCTCTCCCTACAACTGTATTCAAGGCCGGTCTATCATTAATACCAAAGTCAGGAGGAGTGGGAAAAACAGATATATTAACACATTGAACGTGCACGTAAACATTTGTGAGAGGTGGGAGTTTACTGCTTGCCAAGATCTGTCCACTTATTGAATGGTACTCAAGATTAAGGTTAGATAAAAATTTGGCAACCTAAATTCTTCACACTACCTTTTTCGTAGTTCCACATTACCAAATATAGGCAGATATAGAATTAGCTCCTCCTACATATCCCTGAGGTACTATAATGCTCACTCACGCTCTTATTACGCTGTTTCAATTGAAACATTTTCTCAAACAGCTCATATACCTGAGAGATATTTTCATCTAATGAATATGTTTCTTTCAAAGTGTCCCAAATTTCTTTTACTGTATCAAGAAACATCACATTGGCACTTATTTGGGGTTCCATAAAACTCCACAATCAGGGCATGATTATATAATTCTCCCTCATTCACTCTTCATATCGACAATCAGATTTACTAGGCTTGTCCTTAGTCAAGTATTTCAATTTCCCCCTCGCACCAAAGGATACTTTGACAGATTGAGCCCATACAACATAACTAGATTAATTTAATTTTATTGTGGTGATTTGTAGCTCCTCAGTTTTAAGAAGGTTAAGGATTCCATGTTTAATTTCCTTATCCATGAGTATATAAAATAAAGGGGAAAAAGGACAACTAGGATCGGTAAATTTCAGTCATTCGCACAAGCCTAGTACAATGTTAAAAACCACATCAAGAGAAGAGAGATACTTATCATTCAGATATGGTCATGTTCTCACACTTGAATGAGTTAGGGCAACACGACATTAAACACATCTGAGCATCACCACGCTGCATCATTGAATCTAGGTCATCTGAATCTCGAAAGAAAAAACACCCACACAATAGTATCGCCAAACTAACAGTAGATCCAACCTCAACTGGACTTTGCACATCTCACTCCGGTCTCCTCCTCTAATGGCGCACAGGATCAATAGTCTATCTCAGATCTTTGAAGTATGGGAAAGCCTTGGCTACAACCCTTAACTAAATTAGGGAGCAATGGAACAATAGCATAGAGAGAGAAGTGTAGAGAATTGGTGGAGATTGTGCCCCCTTTTTATAGCTTTTTTCTAGGGTTAGAGTTTCTTAGGGTTAGCCGTCCTTATGGAGATTACATCCAGATCATTTGATCATAGGAGACCTGTGGGGTGAGAGATTGGAGCCAAATAATATTTAGATCAGCCATCGTGATTCAAAGGAAGGTGCTAGAACCTTATCCTTTAGCTTCCTTAACCTAATCCCATCAAATAATAAAATATAAAAAATAATATCACACTTACCTTTATTTTCACATACTTTTTTATTGAAATCAAATCTCTTTAATTTCAAAACCTTCCATTTTTATTCATTTTGGTTGAGTGCCTTGATGGCCTCTTAATAAAATTAGGAAAGTACTCATTTAATTGGAGCATGCTACATATGGGGCTCTAGTGGACCCCACACACCACCCACACTAACTCATAGTGGGCTCCCATGTGTAAGGAACATTAATTTAAATGAAATTGAATTTTTAGAAAATAGATTAATGTATTTTATGGTCTCTCTGAATAAAATACTGAAAATTCAGTTTTTCTCTATTTATAAATCCATTTTTGAGAAAATAAAATATCTAGAGACTTCTAAAAATTTAAAGTATCAATCTAAAGATTATTTAACATCAAAATAATTAATTCTAGATATCTCTCAAAAAAAAAAAAAAAAATCTAGATAATTTTGATCCAACTAGGTCAAGGACTTATAAAATTGCTGAAGCACTATATCATCTTCGGTGGCCTATAATCTACACTCACTTTCTCAATCTGACCCAGCAATTCCCATGACCCACAGACCATTACAGGGGTTCATGACTAGGCTACCAAAGTCAGCCAATTGCTGATGGGACACAATCCCAGTCTATGGATTACAGGTTCTCTCCTAGAGACAAGTCCAAAGTCACACAGACCTGGTGCAACCATAGTTCTATGGTGCATAGGGTTAATCTCACACTCAATGTATCACCCTCAATGGTGATTCACTTTCCCAATACAACTATCATATTTTTATGCCGTGTGATGGTTCAATGATGAGGCTTTGGCCCTCTTATCTACAGGCCTACCATCACACACAAGGGTCACAAAGTCCTTTGGCTTACTACCCTAGGCAACTCCAACCTTATCAAGGGATGATCCTCCTAATCCTCATCAGTTGTGCACTAAGCCCTGGTAATTAAGGGTTTTCCAACTCGACTGGCCTAGCCCATTAGCCTCAATATGAGTATCGGCAAATAGTATTTGCCTATCTCGGTCCCTCTAGATTATAATCTCTTCGTCCTTGTGGACCACACTCCCATTGTGGTTTATTGTTCCACTATATTAAATTTGGTTACATGCTCTCATAAGGCCTTTAATGGTGACAAATACCCAACAGATCTGATTATCCTAGAGTACTCCTTGACGAGATCAGAATCAGCTGGGTTAGGGTTCACTTTATTTTTTTTGGCTCCATTCTTTCTAAAAGGAAAAGGGAAAATGAAAGTTTAGGTTTAAGGAGAAGGAAAGATGAACGGAATGGGGAAGATGAAATTTTAGGGTTTATAGGAAGGGGGAAAAGAAAGTTTAGAGAAAGGGGGAAAAGAAAGTTTAGGGTTTAGAGGAAGAAGTTGAAAGATCATATCTGCCCTGATATGAGACAATGTCAGAGAATCTAGAGAGACGAAAGAGAAAAGAGAAAGAAGAGAGAAGTGAGAAATATGAGAGACATGTGAGACGTGTGAGAGAGAAGAGTGGTGTGAGGTTCAAAACTGACCGCTCACGCACCTCTCAAGCCACTTATATTCTATTAAAACAATATGAAAGTGCAAAACTGCCCATACAAAATGAGAAAGGACACATGGGTGCTAGAACTTAGATACACTTGGGTCCTAGAACTTATATAAAAGGACTTTTAGCTTATATTTTTCAGATGAATCTTGTAACACTAGTTCCTAGTAATTTTCTGAAGTATTTATATTTTCTAGTAATTTTCTGAAGTATTTATATTTTCTAGTAATTTTCTGAAGTATTTATATTTTCTATTTTTCAGGTTTTTTCCTATTTTTCTCTATTTTCTTCAATTTAGTTGAATGTCATTTTTTTAAAAAAACATTTTGACCAGTCTAATCGGTGACATGGTCTTGGCATGACCAGTCTGACCAAACCGGTACCCCCAACAATTTGATCTCTGATCTGGTCTTAATGACATTAGGTTCAAATGATGCTCCACAAGGTATTACATGACATGACCCAACATATCACCTCATTTTTGTCACTATTTAATATGGATGTTTGATTGAATCAATGTTCAAAAACTTGGCCAAGTCAACTAGGACCCAGTCGAGTTACTTGGCCTCAGCTTGGTGCTTGTTTATGTACTTGGGGCCTGGAACATGTGTACTGCTTGGGCGAGTACTGTACAAATTCACTCGAGTACTTCAGAACTTGAGCCTGCTTGTCCGAGTTCTAGAGTAACAATACTCACCTGAGCACTATTACAGATAAAAAGAAACATAAGTAGGGGCGGAAATCTGCCCCATATTTTCATCTCTCTTTCATGCGGGAGCAAATTTGCCCCTTGTTTTCATCTCTCTCTCTCTCTAAAAGGGGGTGGAAAACATTGCCCCTTGTTTTAATCTCTTCCCCCCCTCCCCCCACCCCCTCGCCAAAAAAAAAAAAACCTATTTCCTTTTTTTTTCTTTCTTCTGCTGATTTTTTAAATTTTTGGGATTTTTATTTTCTGCTTTGTAATAAATTATTCTGCCAATGAGTTTTTGTGATATCGTGACTGGGTATTTTGTTTTATTTTTCCCTAAGTAAAAAATAATTACTTTACTGACCCACCTATTGTTTTTCCCATAATTATGTTTTTGCTAATCCATGCTTTTCTCGGGTGAGCTACTAAAATTATTATCATTTGTATTATTTCTCATGAGGTCAAAAGGTAACAGTTTTTGAATGACCAGAGAGTTTGTACTCGGTGAAACCAACAAAAAGTCCCACATAATCACCATCAAACACTGCCAAATTGTAATGCTACTGGTAGTGCCGGGACTGGGTTGGGTATCTTTGGGCCTAGCAGGACTGGGCCTGCCAGGGTCAGGACCATTGGTTTACGGGCTGCGGGCTGCTTGCTGCTTGCAGTCTTACCCATGTTGGGGTTCTCTGTTGATAAGCAAATGGTAACCTCAGTCATGTCATTATTAAATTTGACAGTAGGGCAAATACTGATCAAGAATATCAATAATTTGAATAGTTTTTTTTTAAAACTTCAAGAATTTGAAATATTGAGAATGATTAAGACAAATTGAAGTTCAATTCCACCTAAGCCTAATCCTTAACTTCACGATTTTATTCTTCGGTGTCTTAATTTAGACAAGATGAACAATTGTTCAAACTGCATCAAGGATCGAGCTGAGTCTTGGGGCAATGATGAGAATATGATTCTCAAACTACAGTTTCCTCTATTTCTTATCCGTGAAGGAATCTCATAGTGACACAATCAATGTCTGTGAACCATGAAACTCTTAGATTTCCCTCTTAGTTGGATACCAATGTTTCTTTTAGCATTGTAGAGCTTGATTTTGATAGTGAGCAACATATTCTCTTCTTTTGCTCTGAGGACTTCACCTTGAGTATTTCTCCAATTTATTTCCTAATAGTTGGAACTAAAATATCCAAAACAAGTGTGGTATACAATTTTAGTTTCTTCATTCTTTGTTTCTATCGTCAGCAGAGATGTACGATTATCAATTCTTATCAGCAAATGATTCTTCGAGGTTATTATGTATGCAGCTTTGACTTCTTCCAAGGATTGATCAGAAGGAAAGTGGAGGCATGATGGTGGTATTAGGCTTTGGACCAGATTGAACATACTGGCGGCAATGAGATTTCTGTTGCATCAAATTTCAATAGTTTGATGGAGGCATTAGTTTAAGATACGAGTAATGTTTATTGAGCATGCATTTCTTCCAAGTCTTTTCTTGATTATTAATCATGTCATTAATTTCTAATCAATAAATGTTATTATTTAGTGAATCTTTCTGTTATTTATGTAATTCTTTGCATCTGTTGAGTATATTTATAATGGATTCTTTCCTGCAAAAATTGCTGCTTACTGAACTAATTTTTTTCATGTGTTTTACATCATTGAAATATATGTGTTTAGCATTGCCAAGTTTAAAACATAGACAAATTTATTTCAAATCAGAAGTATGAGGCCTCTGTTAAAGCGAGTGGATAAGTATTTGTTTCAGTTTCAAATTTTACTTAAGGGAAAAACATACTTCAAAAAGTTGTTTACATATCATGAATAAAAGCCGACCCCAATTAATTAGGAAAAAGCTATTATGATGATGATGATCATGACTGGATATAATAAGTTCCTCAACTGGTTGGTGGTTACTCTCAACAATGGATAGTAAGGGAGCTTCATTCCTTTGAGCAGAGAAAAGACACACCCAAGCCATCTGTAGCTCATTCGGACAATCGTATGCTTTCCTTTCTATAGAAAATATTCTTAGAACTCCTGAACGCCTTGAAGTTAAGGAATACTTTTGAAACCATACAATTTTCAAAGCATTGATCACGAGAGCTATTATAAGTCTGCAAGCACGTTTTTGAATATGTAACGATCGATATTAAAGAAGCTAACCTCTACTAATACACTTCATATATTTAAGATCTATCATCTGCACTCGATGACCTTTCAAATTTGCTTGTCTTGCACAAATAATCTTGAGTGATTTTTACACAATGATCTTAAATACTATATCATGTTGACTCACATGAAGATTAAAAAACACTCTGGTCTCGTTTTGATGGAACGTTAAGAGTAATGCCAATTTTTGCTCCATGTAGGATTGGAAGTTAAGAAAGTTTTCTCTCCACGTGGGGGTGGCAATGGGTTGGGTTGGGTCCGGGTTGGCCTGGACTTGACCTAGACCCAACTCTGGTCCAGGGTTTTGGACCTGGACTTGACCTGGTTTGGGTCCGGGTTTAGAACCTAAACCAAAACTTATAGTAAAAATATTTAAAAAATATACTTAAAAACATATTTAGGTATGCATGTGTGTGTGTTTGTGTATAGGTATGTTTGGGTCAGGTCGACCAGCACCCGGACCGACCCGCTAGATCCAAAACTTGGACCCATACTCGGGACTCGGATTGGTTCGACCGACCGGGCAATCGCGTCAACCTGACCCGATTGCAACCTCTATTCACCACCTTTTCTTGTCCAAAGATTTAAATAGTAAAAGAAACATTTTTTTTTCCTTTTTGGGCAAATAATTTTTTTCAATTGATCATCTAGAGGTTGAGATGAGCAATTGGAAGGTTTTCCAACTTTTTCCAACTTCTGAACATTGATTTTTAAGAGTACAAGGTTGTAACCTTATGTAAACGTTTTCCTAGTGGGATTGCTGGCACTCTTAATGGGGTCTTGAACTACTCTTTTAGGGACTGCTAGTTTTGTAACAAGCAATGGTTTCAAAGACGGATCGGCGTCGCGGATCGAGTACTCCAAAAATCTATTTGGATCGGTGAATTGGCAATCCAGATCGGGAATCGGCCGAATCGTTAGGATTTAGACTTAAAAAAATCCGAAAAAAATCATTAAAATTCATTATAAATAATTTTTTTTAGGAATTCAATAAGAAATGGGGGTATTCCATTAAGAACTTTTATTTTTTGGCATCAATATGCGAATAATGAGATGTTTTTTCCCTATATGAACTACTGTTAACCATTAAATTTACATCACACAAAAAGATAAGCATAAAATTATCATGGATGAAGTATATTATCATACATGGATTACAATAAAACATAAAATTCGTAAAATACAACCTAATAATAAAATGAAAGACGACGTCGTTCTTCATCTTGATCATGCTGGTGCCATTGATTGAATTTGCGTGACAATTCATTGACTCGATCTAGAAACGAATCATCCAAATTAGTGGGCACTTGACTATACTCAAATCTCTGAGTGTTAGTGTTTTGTTGCGCTCTTAATCCAAAATCCCAGAAGCTTGTCCATCATTCATGCTCACCTACACTATCATGCACGTCCCTACCCACTTGCTGTTGAGACTCGGTATGTGAATAATTTGGTTGGAATAGGGTGGTTTCAGAATCATCATTTCTCTCATTTTCCTTCATACCTTTTTCCCACTTTCCCTCATTAGGTGCAATACCAGCGATATCTCTGATGAATTGTGGATATATTGGAGGGCTGCTTCCTCTTTCATGCTACTCATCACCTTTTTCAACATCTTCCTCACCGATAGCCTCAAGGAATTCTTTCTTGCGCAACACTGGCTCCTCTTCCTTTACTACCCATTGTTCTGCTGTGTCTATGACAAATATTGTGTCCAAGTTTATCGGCCCGTAGTTTTCAAGCTTCTTTCTTATTTGTTGCTCTCAGATGTTTAAGTTGTAATGAATGTAAACTAGTTTATGAAGCCTCTTCGAAGCGAGTCGATTCCTCATGGTAGTGTGCAACCATTGGAACGTACTCCAATTTCGCTCGCACCAAATAGCAGAACATGTCTGAGAGAGCATCTTGATTGCTATCCTCATTAGGTGAGGTGCATCACTACCATATATCTCCCACCATTCAGTTGGATTAAAATGCAAAAAGCATTGTAAGGGCGAGAACAATTCATAACATAAAGATATGAAAGAACAAAATATTAGTTAGGGGTTAACCTGGATCCATCTTAGTTCGAGAATTCCTGGAAAGTTTAGTTCCGAATGATCCTATACATAGAAAGCTAAAATAAAATATTTCGTTTTAGTGTATTAGTTATTCCTCACAAATATAACAACTCACTGAAGTTCCTACCAAAATATTAAATATTACCTCTTGTATTGCTGCTACTTGCTTTCGATGGCTTCTCTCCAGCCTAGCAATAATGTATCCAACCCCTTCCATAATTTTTGTGGGGATATTCAAGTGTCAAATAAAAATTTTTGGGTTGAAGTAGTAACCTAGAAAATACATAGACAGAGAAAGGTCATTTAAATTTTCATTAAAAAAATATTTTAGAATTAAATATTCTTAGGATATAAATATATATGTACCTGCCTAATGAATTAGACGGTCAAATTTGGTGTTCCACCTTTTTTCTATAATCTCAATTACGTTACTACCAAAAGTACACTACTCCCTCTCGATACCTTTGTAAAGGATGCCTATAGTAGCTTTTTTGTCAGCATCCGTCATTCTTAACACTGTGATCAAAAGGGCAGTGGCCCCTACGACATTAGAATATCGAGACCAAAACCTCCTATCTGTGACTATGCCCTCCACTTTTAGCCCATTACTGGATTTCGAGAGGCAGTCAGTTGGCCATTCTTCACTGGTAAACAATATCTTCAATACAGCTTTGGATTCCCGAATGGAGTCCACATCCAAGTAATCTTTCACAAAGTGGGTTATGGAAGACCTGATTATCTCTTTTTCTTAGATTGTTCTCTGAACAAAAATAAGCTTTTAGGGTGGTTATATATAAATCTTGACAACAACCTCGCTTCTTGTAGAGTTTCTTTCACAATTTTGATCTTACAGATCTCTTCTAACATAAGATCGATGTTGTGTGTAGCACACATGGTCCATACTAGATGCTTCATCTAATTAACAACTTGTTACCCGCAGAAATACAAGTATGTGCATTGTCCGTAATAAACTGGATCACATGCTTTATCTCCCACCTCCTCCACTATCTGGTCATATAGTCGTACCAAGAAGTTTGCATCATTCTTTTTCCATGAGACGTCTTTGCTAGAAAAAAAAGTTGTACATTTTGGAGAATAGGCCAAGAAGTTAAGATACTCATTTTTGCTAACTTTATTCAACCAACTATCATTCATGAGAGTAATGTCTGTTCTTGGCTAACCATGTTGATATTCTTCAATCTACTTCCTAACTTTTTCGACCTCTTTATCCAAGATCGGTCCATTGAGTTCATATGTAGTCGGGGGCTTTACCCCGGGCCCGATTCTCTGAATTGCGTTAACCATAAGTGGGAAATATGGGCTCTTGGCTGCATCAAAGGGGACCCCTTTATTGTAGAACCGTTTACCAACATATATGTCCAACATGTTCCTTGTACATCATGCCTTTGAGGGTCATCTGTTGTGATTTGGGTTTTGAGAGAAATAAGTTTATATGACCATGACCTGCAATACTAATGCTTTTAGATAAACCAAGAAGAACTATGACTTGCAATACTAGTGCTCTTAGATAAACCAAGAATAACCATGACCTGCAATACTAGTGCTCTTAGATAAACCAAGAATAACCATGACTTGCAATATTAGTGCTCTTAGATAAACCAAGAATAATTTCTTCAACATCTAGTGCTCTGGATACATATTGCCACCAACCCCGCCATACATGCTCGAGCTGGGCCCGCCATGCATGCTCAAGCTAGGCCCACCATGCATGCGTATGACATAACCACCAGGCATTTTGAACCTGCTTTCCCTCTTGTACGTTTTATGTAGGCTCATTCTTGTGGCCATCTCCAAGTCATTATTATATTGCTCTTCTGAATTAATCCCGCTCGATGGCGTATATAAGCCAGTTATCTCCTTATCCATCATCTGGTTTGCGACTTTTTTACCTTTGGTAGCCTTAAGAATGGCCGTTATCTGCTTTTTTATATTGCTAGAAACCCTATTGCACGCAGAAACATGTCTATTGACTACTGCCAAAAGTTGCTTGAACCTATGTACCCCACTACTTGTCACTTTTTGGTAGTAACATGTTGCCCTGCAAGGTCTTCCTTGGATCTTGCCATGGTTCAATTGTTTTAATATGTAAACGGTTAAAAGTGAACCTGACAGTTAAACGTGTGAAATAATTACTAGTGATAATGTATAGGGGTGGTTCATGAAGTTATCTTTGTTGTTCATACAAAATACTTCTACTGGCATAAATATTGTAGTTACTACTGGCATAAATATTTTATTTATGAAACATTATAGATAAAATTACTCTATATCAGCCACTACATATACATAAATAAATTTGCAATGATATAGTATCAATAAAAAAATATTTACAACGGTATTGTTATTCACAATGGCACTACATATA